ATGTATGTATGTATGTATGTATGTATGTATGTATGTATGTATGTATGTATGTATGTATGTATGTATGTATGTATGTATGTATGTATGTATAACTAACTATGAAAACCCTCCATGCCGCCTCCTTCTTTGTCTTCACCACCGATCCTAGTAAGAGTCACCACCACTGGTGGACCATCGTGAAAGCACCTATGCTCAGCCTTGTTCTCTTTTAACGAAGATCAATGTAAGATATATTATGGAACACCTCAATTTGATCTAATAACTTTCAACTTAAAACTATAGTAAAAGTTATTGGTAGCTCATAACCTAAAGCTTATAAGGAGCTCAAAAACTCATTTTCTATTCATATGAGACTTAAACTCCTGATGTCCTTGTCAAGTCTGTCCAAAATCTTTTTCTTTGTAATAGGCGATGTGGAATTTGCCTAAGATGTTATAAACACCCCCTCCACAACTCATCACACCCGATGAGATTTGTCTCACTATCTCGATGGTACAAGTATCAACTCTAATACTATTTGTAACGCCCCAAGTCCAAAGCAACAAGTTCATCCAATAACTTTCAATTCCAACTTTAAACTATAGTGAAAATTATTAATAGCTCACAACTTAAGATTTATATAAAACTCACATCTGATTTTCTTTCCATATCGGACAAGTTGTTAGATCTTAAATGGATGAGTTTAGACATCTTTCAAATGGCTTATAATTTTCAAACACTTTTGATAAAGAACAAAATGTCTTTCAAAATGTAAGAATTCACTTTATTGGGAAATTCTTGTTTCATTAAAAAATAAATTTTATAAAAGAAAAAATTTAGAAAAATCTAATGAATTTTTCCATTTTAAATGGTTAATCTGTCTAAACTCTTTTTTTAACAAAATTTATTTAACTTTTTCATTTTGAACGATTTAAGTATTTGAACATTTTGATGAATAAAATAATCATCGAACTTTAAAAACCAATTACCTACAATTTTTTAACAAAACAAAACTACTTGTAAGTGGCTAGAAAGATTAAAAAAATAGTTTTACCGTTATCAAACCATACACATTCAAACCCCTCGCACTCAACGGTTTCGCTCCCCTCACCACCCATAGTCATCCGTTCTCCATATCCAGTCTTTGTCCCTTGATTTTGTAATCAGATCTATCTGTCCCGGCTACATCTAACCTTTTTACAGTACACCATAAGAATCTCCCCCTGTCGTAGAGGYCAGCCTATCCGACGAACCCCACTCAACTTGCTAAAATAAATGGAAAGTGCCACAGTATAATACCATTTATGGTATTTCAACCATTGGCTAGAGAATTGTCATAAAGTGAAGGCAGAAACCACGCAAAGGTGTATTAGTCCGCTTATCACTGTCGTTGGTCTCTGACATCGATCCTCCCTCTTTTTTCATTTGTTTTTTTATTCTAATTATATTACAACAATTTAATGGACTAAGCATAGACAAATCAAAAAAGACGGGAAATTGTAAAACAAAAACAAAAAAAACAAAAAAAACAAACTAATTAAAAAGATAGAGATCAATGGCATGGGCAAAGGTGGGGATTTATTTCTTTTTAATGTTTGTATAGGATTTTGTCGTTCAATAGACTTTTGTGTTAATGTTGTGCAGTATGACGGACTTCTACACAACATACAAAAATTGAATGTTTTTAGAAAACTCAAACCGCAAACGTCAACATGGTTTAGCTTTGGAAACATATAGTTCGTTTGTCAAATACTTTGTGTGAGTATGAATTAACCGCATTATCCGACTTTTTAAGAACTTGACATATTCAAATCTAATGCAGTTTATTTGCTTGAGCTATTTTTTCATATATCTTTTTTAAGGACGTATTTGATAACACCGAATTACTATTTACATAATTTCTTACTATCTTTTGAGTGATACCTTTGTGATTTAGCAATTAGATAGACATAAGCGAAATATTATTATTTATTTATTATTTTAATAAAAATATATGTGCCAAAATAGGACATGTAATTTGAATGTATAAGATTGGATAAAGCAAAAATAATTGGGGGTTTGGAGGACAAAAAGAATCTTGAACATAATAATTTTACGATGTCGTCTTTGAATGACCCAAACCCGTTGTAGATTTAGGAAAGGACAAAACGGGTCCTTTCATGCATTATTGCTACCCAAATTTTGCCTATTTCATTTACGGACTTTTTAGTTTCCACAAGGGAATAAAAACGAGTTGTTTTAAAAAAAACGAGAATAAAAATGACAGACGAAGAAATTGTGAATCAATTTCCATTTTCCCACATAACTAATGATTTACTAAAGCACATAATTTGACCGTGCGATCTCAATTAAACCTCAATCATATGAGGTTAAACCGAGCAAAAAAGTAACATCCGACTGGTTATAACTTGAAACCTTAAAAAGTTTGTAATATGGAAAAATAAATAAATAGAATTTCCAATGTAAACTATAAAATACAGCAAGTAACTTGATATGATGCAAGATTCAATAAAGAGACAAACGACAACGGATTTACATAAAACCTTAGAATCGGATGAAGAACATGAGTTAAGGAGACTAGCGGAAGAAGTCTCTTATATTTGAAGGTGATTGCAGTGCTTGGGAATAGAAAACAACAAGTCTCTAGCTAAGCCTACATGGTTCGTAGTTAAGGTTTGGAGAGTTTTTTGCATGAAAATACGGAGAGAATTAAACAAAATGGATAAATACCTAACTGTAGACCTTATTTATGACCTGGATATATAGATTAGGTTTTTGTTAAAATATAATATTAAGTTTTTACTAGAATTTGAAAATTATATTAATTTTATTAATTCAAATAATTAATTAAGGACATTACGGGTGGACCTACTTTTGGAGTATGGATATCAGTAAAACGATAATAATATATATAGGCCTAAGTGTCAATAATTAATTCCATTTAAAAAAAAAAAAAAAAAACCTTAGATAAACACTTGTTTTGAATTAAACCTTAAAAAGTTGCTTGGGGACTCCATTGATTCTATATATAGTAAAGCTTGCAGCCTTTCATGCCTTTATTATTCTACTGCACCCAAGAAACTGAGAAAGCAAAGATGATTGATCAGAAGTTCTTCGTTGGAGGTGCAACTGGAACAACTCGACATCCCAATATTTCCACTAATTATTCCGATCATTCCCCGCCGCCACCACCACCGCCGCCACCGTCTTCCACCACCAATCTCAACTCGGAAAACCATCATTTAAAGTGCCCACGATGCGATTCCTCCAACACAAAGTTCTGTTACTATAACAACTACAACCTCACTCAGCCCCGCTACTTCTGCAAGACTTGCCGACGCTACTGGACCAGAGGTGGGGCCCTCCGCAACGTCCCCATTGGCGGTGGCTGCCGGAAAAACAAGGGAACCACCATAGCCTCTGCCTTAGCAAAGCAGATCTCCTCCACCGAAAATCTCAAGGCCCTTATTTCCTCCGACCTTGGGAAATCCGACATCATCAACAGTCTTGATGAGCGTTCCAAACCGATTTTATGGGCCAGCTCACCTCAGACCTCTCATCTTCTTTCCTTACTAAGATCCACCCATAACCATAACCCTAACCCTAACCCTAATTTTACTTCAAACGCAAACACGTTCAATCCATCTTGGAGAATCAACAGTCAAATGGTTCGAGATCAACAACAGGAAAATGGAGGGATCATAACTGGTCATGAAGGTCGAATCACAGGAAACAATCCAGCTCAAATGCATCAACAGCTAAGATCATCTCCATCAAACTATTATCATCATGATCAGGCAGTTGCACCTATGACGAACCCTTCATCTTCAACATCTGCTTCAACTGTAGCAAACGGTGAGTCGGGTTATTGGAACTTGATGATTCCATGGTCGGATCTGTCCATAACCAACAATGCCTATGCTCCTTAAATCAATAAGCTCTTTCTAGCTAAATATATATAGTTTCTCAGATCTTTTGTACGTACGTAGCTGATAAAATTAAGAAGTCATCAGCTAGGGTTTGGTGTTGCATTTCTGCTATGGTGTTTAATCTGGATGTTTTTTTTAACTTGTCCATTTTAAGTTTGAATCATGGAGTTGTTTATGTAATTGAGTGTTTCTTTTTTCTTTGATACGACTTAAAAAGATGATGGATTTGAGTAAACATGTAAATACATGAATGAATGTACAACAAATTTCACCATAAATTTGCAAATACTGTTACCTGTCTTTTAAAGTGTTTTTCTGAGTCATATATGACATTAAAATCAAGCAAGTGGAGAAAAGAAATAGAAAGACATGGATAAGCTTGACACCAAATGTAAAAACACAACCATAGTGGTGTCTGATTGGTTTAAGCTTGACTCCAAAGGTCAAAAGTACCAGAA